GTGATTCCTCTGAGTGCAGGGGTAAGCTGGGCAGAGATGCAATAAAGATGAGCTTGTCCAAACAGTTGTCAGGAACGTCTAACGGGGCAGCCCTCGAAAAAGGGGGGCAAGTGTCAGGCTGGCACTGAAAAGCGGGTGAAGAGCGGGTGCTGTTAGCACTGTGTGTGTCCTGTTAATGTGCCTGAGGGTAGAATAAATGTTACATGTGGGAGAGAGCTTTAGTTTGCTCTATTACTTGTGGATTTTTTTTTCCTCCCACAAAGTAGTGGGTTATGTCTTTCCTTCTTTTCTGCCACCATAGTAAAAAATTTTGGTAAGTGGAACAGGATATCAGAGCTTTGTGAATCCGGCTGGACAAATGGCGCTGCATAGGGTGTGTTTTCCCTGGTTTTCTTCGAAAATGTCTTTGAAAGTTAAAAGCTCTTGATTATGGCTGCTTGATGTCCCTCTTGCCATTCTCTGCAGAAAAGAAATGAGATGATGTTCATCATCTCGTTCGTAAGATACCCATCATTGTCCCCTCCTACTTCCTTTTGCTCCCTTTGAGCAAATACTATATTGTGTTCTTAAGTTTACACGTGGATTGCGAAACTATAAGACCTAAACCAGCTCTGATACAGTACCAGCCCTATTAAAATGCTTGCAGAATGTTTGAAATTGCTGCTGCTCAAAGGTTTCTTCACGTCGTCAGTCTGTAGAAAGCGCTTGCCAGTAACCTGAGCAGGGATGTCCCAGAGGTGAATGGCCGGGCCATGGGCCCTCTGGGTCATGTTAGTGTGCGTTGGCAGAGTGCCACAAGGAAAAGCTTGTCGGCTTCTGTTTCCTCCTTCCCTTAAATAAGTGTTGGACTTCAGAATCTGGCAGTGGTAGCTTCAGGGACCACAAGCCGGAGGGAAGCACACACATATGCGTGATAGTGGCATAAATGCAGATTGTAGGGTCTCTTCACGCTTGGTCAGGCTGGGATCTAGCTAAACAATTCCTCTATTTTGGCAATGTGTTTTGTAAAAGTTTTGTGAATTCTCAGAAAATGGCAGTGTTGTTTAAGTCTTTCTAAATGAGATAAATCGGAGACACTGTCTCCTGGAATGTTTGCAAATATCGGGTCTAGTGATAATTATCTAGAAGTACCTTCTTGGAGAGGGTTTGTGTGCAAGCTTCTGTTCTTGTTGCTGCCCACAGGACAAGAAATACTGTTAGAATGGCTGCAAGGAAGGTTTGATTTATTCTTTATATAGGTTATTTTTTATTTATTATTTATATAGGTTAATTTATTCTGACAGCTAAGTGCTTCATTCTAAAGTTAATTACAGGAACAGATTTTCAAAATCTTTCAAAAGAGATCCCACAGACTTCAGGATAGATTCTGTCGCCCTTAGAGGATGGATGTGCAGAGTTATGCAACGATGGGGAGAGCGGCTGGTGCCGCTGCCCGGAGGGGTGGTTAGCGTAGCTGTGCTGGCAGTGTCCTGCCCGCACCGTGCTGGGTAATCCTGGGGTGATGCTCGCTGCTGGGTCTCGTGCCGTGATTTCCCCGGGCTACTTTCCGCCGGTTTGAGAGAGGAATCCGAGTGTGGCTTCTGTCGGGGTCTGGTGTGCAGAAGGAATATAGTGACATTTGAAATAGAGATTTTGATTTTTTTCTTTTTCTCTTTTGAGAGAAGGAGGTTTGCTTTCCTTCAGCAGGCTTTTTGCATGCGATAGGTCACTTCAGCGCGAGTAGTGCTTCTCACCAGGCGCTGTGGTTTGGGGGACAGGGGCAGGAGGGGTTGATTGTGCTTCTGCAGTTACTTCTCTCATTTAGGTCATATTTGCCTACGAAAGGGTCTCTTGCAAGTGTGTGTCTGCATGTACGCATATATTAAAATAGTAAGACTTAGTCAATGCAAATTATTTTTGTCTGCGTGCAGCTGGGTTTTTCTTGATCTGGAGTTGTGCATATTTGTTGTGCTGCTTGTTACTTTGTTGTACAATTTCCTGGCACCTCAGATGCAAGACTGTCATCTGAGAGATTTTCTTGTGCATGTGTTTTGAAATGTAAATAATTGGTAAAGGCCACGAAGGCGGTATCTCCTGTCTGCAGAAAGTCTGTGCCTTGCCAGGGCTCTGTGACTGAACTAAAGCAGAGCTCTGTCCTGCGAGTTTTGACCTTGCACAGGAGATAACTTAGCTTGCAGGCATCTCCCGAATGAGATGATTGCCTGGCCAGGCCCATGCGTTATGCAGATGTTTTGGCATGTGTCACTCTTGTCATTATAAGCCACTGCCTTCGTCTGGAGAAGATGAAGCGCATCTGTCAACACGAAAGCAAAGGTCCTGATAAGAAAGGCCCCGGCGTCAGCCTTCTCATGAGCTGCTGGGTTAGGAACCTGCACTGGGCATTTCCTTCAAATTTCGCTGCCAAAGCTCCCCCAACCTGTTCCATAGCAGCATTCCCATTTCTTGCTACCAAATGTTTTGTTCCTGGCAAGGCTTTCCATAGTCCCCCTCTTGTCTTTTCTGTTGCCTGGTGCTGCCTGAGTCATCATCATCTATATGCAAAGAGCCTGATTTCTGCCAAAGGTGTCATCAAAAATTTCATCTTCTGCATGCTTGTATGTCTCCTGAGCGTCTTCCAAAGTTCTGTCCTTATCTTGTCATCTTGCGAGCCCTTCCAGGCAAGGATGGCACCGGTGTGATTTTGGGTTTTATTAGTATTGCGCCGTGTCTGTATGACACAAACGAAGTGAGAGAATTGCTACAGGTCGCTGGCCGCTGTAGAGCATCGTGTAGGACAAGACTGCTGTTTCCTTCCAGTGCTTCACCTGCCTGGGAGACCTTTTCCTACTCGATCAGAGAGTCACAGAGCACTCTTTTACGAGATTGGAGAACGCAAAATTTAGTGAAGCGTGGGAAACAAGCCTTACATTGTTTCAAGGTAGATCAGTATTGAAGTCCAAGCAATTTTAAAAAGAGTGCTTCCCAGTTGCTTTCCAGATGAGGCTTTTTACCTGCTCTAACTGCATTAAGCTGTGCTTAGAATGGATATGAAAATCTCCCATGTAAGCAAAAAAACCCACATCTGATAATATAGTATTAACACATTTTATGTAGATGCCTAGCATTTGCATCTTAAATACATTTTAGATTTTAAAACTCCTGATATGTATGACTTTTCTTTTTTATCCTGCTTGATTCCAGTAATTCTGGATGCTCTGTTGACCCTCACTGGTATCTAGGCCAAACGTACCTTACTAGCCTCGGAATAAGGCAAAAGGAAGGTGATGAAGAGGAAGGGGGTGTGGGGGCAATAAACACAGATTATCTTGGAGGTTTTTTTTTTCTCTTTCCCCTGACTCGATGAAGGATCCCTGTGACAGCTGCTGTTTGTCCACACCTGGCTTGTGAATGCCAGGCTATTGAGTGTTTCCTCCGGCGTTGTGAGCCTGCTGACTGTGCCCCGTGGCCCTGGCAGCCTGTCCCTTCCATCCCGGCAGAGCTGTGCTTTTGGCAGTGCCCCTGCCCTGTGCCCAGAGCTCCTGCCAGCCGCTCTCCGTCCCCGGATCCCAGCTCCCCTCCGCCTTCCCCGGGGATCCCAGCCGACAGGGAGCAGCCATGCCGGGGGTGGCTGTTTGGGACAGGCTCTGCGGGCGGCTGCTGGGAGCCTGGAGCTCGGTGTGCGTTCTTCTCTGCTGCCGGTGGTATCCGGCTCGTATCCGCAAGCCGGCCTCGGCCTCGTGTTTAATTCCCTCGTGGTTTGCCCAGAGGGTGTTAATTGGTGGGAGGGTGGTGCTGAACCCTGGGCCCCGCTGAGCCAGAGCAGGCACCAGGCTGATTGTGGCTTGTTTCAGTCCAAGCCCGTCTCGCTTGGTCAGTCTGTTTCCTCTGCCTTTTCCCTTCTGTATTTGTCTTCCCAGCCCTGATTGCAGAGCTCTTGCTTGTAGGTGGAAGGGGAAGAGGTCACGGAGACCGACTCTGCCTGCCTTGCTGAGGACACGCAGGGGAAGGCAGCAGTTGGGTTTCTTACGGCTGCAGCATCAGCTGAAGAGCTGTCCCAAACCACGGTCTGGGTTTTGTGTGGTTTTCCAACGGTGCTGTACACGCAGGGAGTTGAGGAGAGTGAACTGAAGCTAGTAATACAATGAGATTACACCAGAGCTGGTATTCTAATCCAGCCAAGCTGCTGCTGTCTAATACTCTTTAAAGCTCGATTTTCATTTCACAGCCTTGGTGCTCGTGCTCCAGCCGGGCTGGGTTACCCGAGGTAATGGTAGGGACTGAGGAAGCAGCAAAGTCCATGGAAGGGTTTGCTGATGATGATGGTGCACGGGGTCTGGTTTGCTTTGGAGCCTCTGTGGAACCGTTGGAACTTTCCAGCCTGACCCGTCTCCCGCTCCCTGAGAAAGGGGTGAGGACTTTTTTGCCATGTTAGTGAGCTGTGCTGGCCCGAAGGGGTGAGGAAAAAAGAGTGGAATAGGAGGGAGCGGGGATGTGACCATCGCTTTGGATGCGGCCAGCGGTTAGTTTGGTGTCAGACCTTACCCTACGCTAACCACTCCACTGCTGGTAGTCGTGTGTGAGCATCAGTCCGTAAGCGGCTACAAGGTAATTCCTGACGTGCGGCGCAGACAGAAATCCAGTGCCAGGGCTGCGGCCCTCTTCTCTAGTAATCCATGGAGTTTTCTAACACAGAGGTGTTAGATGGGTGGGAGTAGAAAAGTCAGATGACAGCCCGCTAGATGAAGCATGTTACAGATAAGAAATGCGTTTTTCTTGTGGCTGAGCAAAGGCAATGTTTTCCTAATTGCAGATGAAGAGACAGAGAGACGCAGAGTGGAAAGTGACTTGATGAGAGTCACAAAACAAAGTTAAGAATAGCTTTTCTGTATTGACCTGGTGTTTGATCACCTGACTGTACAGCCTTTCTAGTGTCTGGGCTGAACACTTTCAGCATTGTTGCCCATCTCTAATGTTGTTCCCACGTTTCTGTTGTATTTTAATGTTTCTTCTCCTTTTTGCAGGAAAGGCCAAGGTATGTGCTGGTCTTGCTGTTGTTGCTGCACAGTACAGACTCCTTCTATGTACCTGGTGTGGCTCCTATCAACTTCCACCGCAATGATCCTGTAGAAATAAAGGTAGGAGGAATTTAGATCGAGCTGTTAATCTGTTTGGTTTGGGTTTTCTTGTGTTTTGTTTTTTTCCTTTTTTGTTACATGGCAGCTAAGTGGGACTAGAAAGTCAAATTTGTGTATCCCATTACTAAAATTTTGGGGGCAGATATTTTCTCTTTTCCACAACATTCATGCAGGGTGCTGGGGATAAGCAGCCCTCAAGTGGTCACTGTTGTCATCTTACCCTGCAGTTCCCAACATGATTCCCTTTCTTGCTTCTGATATCTTCTACCAAATTCCTTCAGCAGTTACACCAAAGTCCTCAAGCTGTTGCTCTATTTGGGAAGAGAGCCCTCTTTCTCACAGTAGCTTTGCAGTGAATTTAATCAGAGATTTTTCTCCGGCATTATACTGGCTTTCAAAGAGCTTATAGAAGGTGGGCCTATAGGTGGTAGGTGAATGGTAGAATAAAGAAGTGGTTTGAATCAGACCTTTTTAATTTTCTCTTCTACCCAGTTTGCTCATGTGGCGTCTTCAAGTCAAGTGAAATCCATGATAAGCCCTTTCCAAGTGCAGGCATTTGTCCTTGAGCGGTGCAGATCTTACAACCCAGGCTTGCTGAAGAGCTGTTCCTGTTCCTGATGGAACTGCTTCACCCGTACAGGAGGAAGCCAGGCTTTGTTTCCAGACATCAGCAATTTATAGCCCATTTCATTTATTTTTCTAAAGCTGTGGCCTCTGTCTCAGCAAAATCCAGCACCCTTGGGGATGCTGAGGTTGGCTGCTCCCACAGGAAGCACAACACAATTTTCTCTTTGGCCACAGGCTGCCAGACGTAGGCTATTTTTAAGCAAATGAGACTTGCCTGTGGCTACAGTAAGCTTCCGAGAAGAAGGGAGTATTGGAATGGCTGTTCTCAAAGGGATTTCATGAGCCAAATGCTTCCTCAAGTGATAAGGCAAGTCAGCGTGTTTGCCAGCACTCTTCCAATAAATGAGCTTGGCTGCATTACAAAACACTTCTGTTTTTTCACAGCAGCTGTGGCCTTGGCTATTATGGTATGTCTCTGCACTTCCCTTGTGCCGTGGGATTTGTGGGAACTCTCCAGAAATGTTTGGGTTTTGTCACCATCCGTTGTCCTCCCAATCTGATGCCTCTCTGGTTTTCCTTACAGAGACCAAAATTGTTGAACTCTTCCTGTCACTACAGCCCAGACCTCTAGGTCCAGTGTGACATGAATTATTTTTTTTTTTGAGGAAATAATTGCAGTGTGGTATGAAATGTGACTCTTCAATCTCTTTTGAGCTCTTTGTTGTTTTTAGGACTCCACAGGGTCATGCATTTGTGAAACCAACCAATCCACCATGCTTCTTTCTTCAAGTGTTTGTCTTTGTGAATGAATTGCTATTAAATTGTGGTGTAGAGAATGTACAACTAGGAGTTGTACAAAAGGAAAGAAAGCTGGAGCTCTTCCAGGAACATCTGTCTCTTTTTTTTTTTTTTTTTAAAAAGAGCTTCCAAAAGTGAGCTTTATGGGAGGTGTCTTGAAGTAAGCTTCAGCTTCTGGCTGAAGCTGAGAGGATAGGAAGCTATCTGAGTTCTTTCATGGGAATAATCCTTCCATTCTTCCTCCAGGCTGTGAAGCTCACCAGCTCGCGAACCCAGCTACCATATGAGTACTACTCGTTGCCCTTCTGCCAGCCCACCAAGATAACATACAAGGCTGAGAATCTCGGTATGTATCTGTTGAACAGCGCGTTCCCTAGCAGTAAGTGGGCTGCTATTTACGAGCTGCATGAGGGTATGTTTACAGGAGTAAAAGCAATTGCAAATGTCATCTCTAATAAATTGTTTGTGGAGAACCTGCTTCCTCTAATTTGTTGTATGCTGGCTGTTTGCAAACTGGTGCATATATTGGAAAGAGGAGATGCCTTTCCTGAAGGAGGCCATGTAAGCTGCTTCAAAAGTAGTGCTTGACACTCCCAACAAAATAGCCAAACTGTCCTTCGGTCTTATCCTTGCGTCTGTGGTAACAAAGGATCTTGCTGTCGTCACTGCAGCTGTACAGTGCGCTGCAACCCAGTGGTGAGATCAGCTGGGCAGTCTTCAACCCTGCCCTTATTTTCCTCTTTTCCAGGTGAGGTTCTTCGGGGGGACCGAATTGTAAATACACCTTTCCAGGTTTCCATGAACGTGGAGAAGAAATGTGAAGTTCTGTGCAACCTTCCCAATAAACCAGTCACTCTGACAGTGGAGCAGAGCAAGCTGATCGCCGAGCGGATCAGGGAAGATTACTATGTCCATCTGTGAGTCATCTCCAGTGTGGGGTTGTGTCAGTGGGGATTCTGTGCTGTAGACAAATTTGATCTGAAATCTGTGTTTTCAGCATCGCCGATAACCTCCCTGTGGCAACACGGCTGGAGTTTTATTCCAATCGTGAGGAAGAGGAGAAGAAGAAGGAAAAGGATGTGCAGTTCGAGCATGGATACAGGCTTGGGTTTATGGATGCTAACAAGGTAGAGAATCCAGATGCTCTCTGAAGGGTGCCTGGAGGAGATCTGAGTGTCTGTCAGAGGGTGTTAGAAGTGTACCAGAGAGTATCAGAATTGGGAATGCGACCAAAAAGTTTTCTAAAGAGTGGAAATATGAGAGAGGGGTCTCTTATCGGGAGAAAGGGATGGGTGCTGGCCTAGTGGTACGACAGCTAGGAGTCCTAGCTTTGACTCGCTGTATAACGTTGGACAAAGTCCTGCAGTGGTTTCCCCTGAGCAGAACAAAGGCAACGGACCCCAAAGGCTGGCTCATTTTTGACAGTCTTGGAGTGTCTTGTATTTAAGAATTTTTTTAAAAAAAAAAAAGGGGGAAAAAAAAAAAATTGGTCATTTAAGGGAGGAATTAAGAGCTCAGCTGAAACAACATGAGCACATTCCTGCAGATATTTTCTGTGATTGTGTGCCCTGAGATTAACTGTTTGACTTAACAGACGCGTCTGTTTATCCTACTCAAGTGTTCAGTTGCACACGCAGCTCTGATCACTTGAGCATACGTTCTTAGGGGTGAGCAAACCTGCTGTGCCAGCTGGGCATCACTGTACTTTGTTCATGTAATAGGTGATATAAGAGCCTTTCAGAAGTGTACGCTTAGGACAGCCGTGGGCCCCCACGGAGTCTGGGTAATGTATGTCTGCCTGGTAGAACAAGCAGGCGGGAAACTCGGGGCTGTAGCTCCTGAGGTCTTTCCAACCTAAATTTGGCGATTCTGCTGCCACTGAGTGCATGGTTGAGATGTGAGATATAATGATGTTTTCCAGGCCAGAAATAGACCAAAACATTGTCCCTGATGCTTGGAGTGGTTGAGGTGTTACCTTTTCAACATCTCTGTTCTCTCCTCTTGTTCTTTTAGCCTTGGAACATGTTAGCCTGATCTTGCTCTGTAGCACAGTGCGTCTGGGAACAGTTGTAGTCTTCAGTTTTCTTCACTGAAGCTGCTTTCTGCAGTTGTTGCTTCTCAGCTTTGCCTGTCCCTCCCTTGGGATGCTAACATTTTATTTAATGTCAATCTGTTTTAGTTCTACCTGCACAACCACCTCTCCTTCATCCTTTACTACCACAGAGAGGATGTGGAGGAGAACCAGGAGCCCACCTACAGGGTTGTGCGCTTTGAAGTGATTCCCCAAAGTATTAAACTAGAAGGTAAGAGACTCTTGGGGAGGGGAGCAAGGGAAAATAATCTCTTGTAGGGCCAAGAGTTGAATGCCGCTGATGTATCAGGGTGCCAGTTGTTGCTTCCGTTATGGTATCGGGGCACAGAAATGGGAGAGTCCAAATTATAAGAACAATAAACCCCTTTGTTATTAAGGAAGTACCAACAATGGACAGATATCCTTAAAGTGCAGTCCATGGAAAACTAATTCATATAAAAAGATCTGAGTTTGAGGTTTTGGGGTTGGATTTGTTTGCACTGTGTCATCTAGCATGAAATATGCATGGCATCTAGCTCTTGTTGTGGCCCAGATCTACCCCACTGGGACAATATTTGCTAGTCTGGAGACCCACAGAATGTTTGGAACTGTTCTAGGGAGACTGATTTTTTAAAAATAATGGTTAGGGGGAAAACAGTCCTACCTCAGTGACAGGCATCTCGAAGGGAAGCTGCTCATCATGTGTATCCTCCCATGCAACTCTCCTCTGGCAGCAGCAGGCTCTGCTGGAGAGGTCTTGTTTCTCAGCGGGTCATGTGGAACAGGGGATTTGTTCATGGTCTGGATCCTTGGCTTCAGAGCCTCTGGCTTTTATCCTTTCAGTTAAGGAAAGCCCTGTGCATAGCATTCCTTAAAGTTTGTTAATGGTGCTCTGCTTCATGTCAGAAGAAGAGTTTTGCATACTGCAAAGCAGGTGAGAAAGGAATGAGTGCTTCCCCTGCAGTGTTGGGAGTAATTGCAGCCCAGTGCCTGAAGGGTACCCGGGGCCAGGATGATCAGCTGGAGAGGTGATGCCTGAGGGAAGGGCTGACCTAGTGTGTGCCATGGTTTCCCTTACAGACTTGAAGGCTGATGAGAAGAGCATGTGCACCCTGCCTGAAGCTACGGGCTCTGCCCCTCAGGAAATAGATCCTTCTAAAGAGAACCAGTTGCTCTTCACCTACTCTGTCCACTGGGAGGTGAGGGAGTAATGGGAAGCTGGCAGGCAGCTGACTACCCCTGGCTGGCTGGCAGTTGGTGCTCCAAGTGTCTGTCACAGAGGTGTTGTGGAAGATGCTGGGAATGTGCTGGTATGAGAAGAACTTTCCTGTTCTTTCAGGAAAGTGACATTAAATGGGCTTCCCGCTGGGACACGTACCTGACCATGAGTGACGTGCAGATTCATTGGTTTTCTATCATTAACTCGGTTGTGGTCGTCTTTTTCCTTTCAGGTGAGTGAGAAGTGTGGGGTGAAGAAAGCTTTATCATTAATCTGCAGGGAACTGTCTTTAAACCTCAGCTGCAGGTGGCTTGAGGAGGATGTGGCCATGTCTGAACCTGATCAGAAGGGGCAGGAAATGAACATTGGGACATAAAACCTTGCGGTTCAGACAGCACCCCATGGGGTGACTCTTCAATGGGTAAAAATCTGGCTGGATGGCTGGACCCAGAGAGTTGTGGCCAATGGAGCTAAATCCAGTTAGTGGCTGGTCACAGTGGTGTTCCCCAGGGCTCAGTTTTGGGACTGGTGTTGTTTAACATCTTTATAGATGATCTGGGTGAGAGGATTGAGGGCACCCTCAGTAAATTTGCAGATGACACCAAGCTAGGTGAAAGTGTTGACCTGCTTGAGGGTAGGAAGGC